GGATTGGGTTTGCATCCAAACAATCCTCCCATTGAACCCAATTCCGCTATTGGCCTCCCGTTCAATAACTGTTCATCAAATCCAATAATTTTTCATATCGCCGATACTCTCAAGACACGCTCACCTGACCTCTGACCAAAGTGAAAACTTTTGATACAAGGCTTTAGGATCAACTTCGTTGGACCGAGAATTACTTGGGATTGCGCCATTTACGCCGACCACATAATCTGGTGTAACATCAAAAAAATTAAGATAAAAAATTTACGTTTTTAAATTAATAAAACTATTATCCAAAACATCATCATAAACTATGGTGAAACAGAGTGTATCGACTACATCACAAAACATCAAAGTAAAATAAAAATGCGGAACGAGGTGGTGTTTATATTGCAATCATCCTGGAGTCTTCCCCTTCGAACCAGATGTACCTGAAAACATAAACTGAAAACTGTATGTACAAAGTTTAGTGATTTCCCCAAATAACCACATACTATACATAATAAACATATAATGAGCCTTTTTTGGCATCGGGCCCCGCTCAGTATACAGATCTGTCAGTCATAAGGCCCCGCTGGTATACATATAAACATATAAACATATAAAGAGATAAATACATAATACATGCAATAATCAAAAAGATAAATAGCATACGAAATGGTCATCGGCCCCCGCTCAGTAAGCATACAAGCACAAAACACATGCAAGAGTCATGCAAACATCTAGCATCATTACATTACAAACCATGCGCCAACATTGGTGCCTTCGACCCGCTAAACACAATGAGGAAACTCACATCTAGCTGCTGAAATACGCAAATGAATCTCTGCCTGTTGGTCCGGAAAATCCCCGCGCTATTATCATCAAAATAATATCCAATTATTAATTGGATCTCGACCCATAACCAAGAATCTAAGCTACTTAGCCCATAACCAGGGTAAAAGACCATTTTACCTGTTTTCTAACTTGGCCCAAAGCTAAGGCCCAACCCAATTACTCAAAAGGCCCAAATCCTAAATGGCAACCTAAGGCCTAATTATGGCCTAATCTTTCAAACTAGGCCCAAAACCCATCATGGGCCTAAATCCAAGGAAGCCTAATATATAAGTCAAAAGCCCAAATCAGAAGTCTAATGGCCAAACAAGACCCAAGTTTATAAATCCCATATCGAGAATGCCAAGCCCAGATGTCCATCTGCTAAGTACGCTAGGCGTACTCAGCTCGTATGCCTAACGTACGCTTCAGGCTCCCAAACTACTTCATTAAGCACTTAAACAGTTAAGACCTTTTGCCAAACTCTCAGATCTTGTCCCAAAGAGTGACTTATCACGTAAAGTTGGCAACTTTACACTCATTAGCTCAAAATCCTTAATTAGTTAGTCTATATTTTCCTTTCTTGTATATTGTACTTCTTATTTGATAATAATATAAAACCTTAGCCGTTATGTGTCTTGATAGTCTATATTTACTACCACATGGTATGGAAAGTAGGAAAACTACTCACTACTTAAGTAAAAGACAAAAGTCAAAGACAGAAAAATACTAAAGGATAACATAAATGTTCACGTACATAGGGTAACCATGTGCATAAATGACTCCATGAAAGCTGGTGTTGAATGTTAATAAATGACCCATTAATCCATGAACTTTTCAGCAACTCCACATCAATTTGTGTTTGATTTCTCGTTGGAAATATGAAACAAACTCTTTGACATATGTGAAATTAGGAGTAATTTAGGAGTAGATTAGATTTGTTATTTCACTATATATATATATATATATATATATATATATATATATATATATATAGCAAGAGAGAGAGAGAGAGAGAGAGAGAGAATGAGAAAGAGAGAAGAGAGAAGAGAGAGAGGGCTCTTGGTCCATTAACTTGTGAGTTGATGTGGATTTTAAAATTGTTCTTTGATTTAGGTGTAAGAAAGTTTAATGAACAAGTAAACTTAATGTGATGATCATATATCATTAACATTCATATTGCTTTTAAAGGAATCGTGTAAGTTTACTTGAAGTTTTTAATATACAGTTCACATCTTGATAGGTTCATTTTGATATGAATAATGAACATGTATGTGTTCCATTTGATCATTAATTTATATCTCAACACTGATTAAATTTGAGATTAAAGATTTTAATTTTCAGCTCAAATCTTGATAATTAATTGAATAAATAAGACTGAAATTGATAGTGTTTTGTGGAATTCAGATATTAACTCTTTAATATCTTTACTGAAATGAAAGTACAATGCTATAATTGGTAGTTTTTTCAACCTAAAATGCCTTAATAAGAAGACATTCAAAAGTACATGGCTATAACACAAAGATACCAAACAAAACAATGAAAGCAAGTAGCACCATTGGTCTCACTTAAAATAGTGATAATTTTGTTGCTTGCAATTAGTGCATTTCCCATTTGTACGCCATGCTATGAGTATGAAATGAGAGATGGAAATCAAGCATGCCCTTAAGGCTATAAGGAGTTGTAGCATGTGGTAACATGTGCTCAAGCATTTCCACATCAAAGTTTTATGGACAACTAAGCATATTATGATGATATGGAGTGGTGATGTGTTTAGAAGGTAAAAAACTTTTTTTTCTTAAATCAAATAAATGTTTATTTAATTATTTAAATAAAATAAACCTTAAAAGGGTACATGTTGCTAAGCCGGAGTTACAAGCATTTGAAGCTGAAATAATCAAATGGTCAAATGGGGACCACATGTGTTACTCTTCCTCTTTTATTTCATCTTGCCAAGCAGCTAGCGAGCATAGAAGAAGCGAGGGGCTTAGTGCCTGGATAAGGAAAGTTGTCGAGGACATGCGAGGGAGTTGGCGAGCCACTCCCTACATCCTAATACAATACTATATATAAAAGACACAAATGTTAGCTTTGGACAAGATAACATTAAATATATGATTTTGCTTTGTTTTTGTGATAATCATGGAATGTTTTAGGGAGCCCTGAGTCAGCAGTGGCAGATGTAGGCCTTGAGGAGTGGCGGTACATGCCCTAATGGCTAAAATATTTTACATACAAATATTTCAATTATTTCAAATATTACTTGTAAAACCCTTTATGATTTTGAAAAAAATTGAAAAGTGCCCCCAACAAAAAAATGCTAGAAGTGCCACTGTGAGTCAATACCATGGATTGGTTTGGTCAGTCTAAGTGCTCAAAACAACCAGGTTTCATTTCTTTACTTTGAAAAAGTACCTAGTTATAGCGTTGTACTTTTAATTTTTGAGGCATCCCTATAATGATCGTGTACTATAATTGGGTATTCGAAGGCTTTGATTGAATGTCATCCCTATAATGATCGTGTACTATAATTGGGTATTCGAAGGCTTTGATTGAATGTTATGTGTTGCAGAACCAGATTTTGCTGTTTTTCAATATCAAACAACAAAATATTCATCGTGGATCTTTAAAAATTGTGATTTATATTTGTAATTCTTTAACTTGGTTTTGACTTATAGAAATTAAGACAAATCCCAAAAGAGCGGTATGCATGGATAGCTTGAACATTTTTTACTTGGGCACCTAATTTTTTTTAACATTTATAAACTGTTTAAATTAAACAACAACATTATACTAACATAATGTGCCTGAACATAATATCTATCAGTGAACAAGAAAGAAAAGAAGATGCACAATTGCATATTGTATCCTCTTTAAATTCTACTAATTCACCCGCCATTACTTCATCAAGACCATGAATACAAGCAATGTCATCACCTACTTGAAGTACGGTACATGTATTTACAATCTTTAAACCAAGACCTCACAATTTTAAGTGAAATGTTTAAATCAAGTGGCGGCCATACGGGTGTGCGGGCGGTGCGGTCGCATGGGATCTCATATTTTAGGGGGCCTCTGAATTTTGGGACAAATCTATAGTTATGATGTTGTTATTTTCATAAAATACATAATAATGTGTTATCATTAAACAAAATTATTTGTCGGTTATTTATATACACAATGTAACATTTGGTTGCAATCTTGAGATCATTTTAATTATGAAAAAAACTCAAAGAAAATCAATAAATCAAACTCTAATCATAAATTCTAAAATTTATCAAAAACTTAAAGAAAGTATTTATATTCGAAGAAAAATAAAAATTTGCTTCTACTATAAATTCTAGCAAAAGCTTTTATTTTTATAAACCCACCGAAAAATAAAGAACAAATCAAACCCTAACAAACCTAATAGCGGTGTCGGTGGATCCCGATGTTGCTCGTCTCTTTTGCCAAAAAAATTGCTGTTTTAGTGTCTTGAATCTTGATATCTCGATGAGTCATTGGTCATCGTTTCGTCCTCCTCTAGTTGACTCACTGAACTGACTACTATTAAGGTTAGTATCTCTTATCTCTTTTAATTTTCCAATTGTGCTTGATTGCTTTCTCTCCTAAGCTAAATGGGGCAAACATGATGGGAAAACCTAAGTGTATTTAGAGGAAAATTTGGATATTAATTCATGAGAATTTTACACCATATGTTTTTCATATTCTCTTATCTTAACATTGATACAACAAACTCTTGTGAAAAAAAAAAAAAACTGAAGTTTTTTGGAGTTGTTCAACCTATTTATACATTATTTGTGATATGCCTCAAGAGAGATTAAACCCCTTGGTTTGATTTCGATTAAGAACAAGTATATTTAGAATATTGATTATGAAATTACAATAAATGAATTTGCTACTAAAAATACGAGGATGTTTATAAAATAGTAATGTGCATGCTCTTTTTTTTTTTTTTGTTGAAATGTTGCTCGTTTATACCTAATGACTGAAAACATGATATTATGGTAGTGATTTTATGTTTGTCAACAATTTTAAGTTTTGAATTTAGAAGTAGCAAATTTACTTAATAATATTTCATACAATTTTTTTTTTATGGGACAACATTTTGATTTTTGGCCTCCGAAATATGAGGGCTTAAATCTCAAATGTTAAATAGTAACAAGTTTGAGATATCTAAATAGAACAAATTAAGTTGTCCAGCCGATGAAACCTCCCACAAATTTAAACAAAGCAAGTCTCCATCTGTTGTTAAGCGCCAGAATTCCCAAAATTCCCAAAAACCCGGTCGCAAAACCGCTTGTAGCACCATAAACCCACATCTCATCGTCGTCTTCATCTTCCTGAGCGTTTCCTGCATTTTCTAGTTGGACTTGATTACTGTTGCAGTTGATCGGCAGTGGCTTACCACAGAGCTCGTTATTGCCTGCATATATGGATGGATTATTGAATGTCTGGAGCTGACTTCCTGTTGGAATTCGCCCTGATAATTTGTTGTGTGACAAATTCAGATGACTAAGAAACGTCAATAATGACATACTCTGTGGGATTATCCCTGAAAGTTGGTTTCTAGAAAGATCAAGAGACATTAACGAATGCATATCACCTATTCTATCTGGAATGTGACCTGTGAGGTGGTTGTTGGACAGGTTAAGACCCAGCAATCCCGCAAGAAGTACCAAGTTTTCGGGTATTTCCCCAACTAGTTTATTGCTGGAAAGGTCCATGTTGATGACGTATGTCATTGTTGTTGTGTACTCGAGGGGCATTCCTTTCATTCCCTGGATCAAACTTTGCTCGAACTCTCTGTAAAAATAAATACTGTAGCCACCTGATTGGATCATTCCACTAAAGTTCTGGAAGCAGCCAGGGATCTTTCCTGTTAAGTTATTATATCCAAGATCCATGATTTGGAGTGTTGTGCATTTACATAACTCTACAGGAATTAGACCCGAGAAATTGTTCTTATGTAGTCTGAGAATTGACAGAGACGTGATCTTTTCACCAATCCATTTCGGTATGCTTCCAGAGAACCGGTTTTCACCCAAATCCAACACATTTAAACTTGTGCAATTTGCTAGAGTTTCCGGAACTTGACCATGGAAGCTATTGTTGTTTAGATGTATCCAATATAGAGAAGAGTCAAGATTGCCTAGAGAGCTCGGAATGACACCGGATAGCCGGTTGGAACTTAATATCATGACCATCAGTTGCGAAAGGTTTCCCAAGCAATCTGGAATGGACCCGGAAAGTGTATTTCTCGAAAGATCGAGAACAAATAAATCTGTAGCGTTACACACTGAATCCGGAATCGATCCATTGAAGAGATTGTTCTTAAGAAGCAACACTCCTAATTGTTCACCTTCATAATTTGCAAACCTTAAATCGAACGGAGCAGGAGTTGAGGACTCGGTTGTTTGGTTGAATGGAAGATTTGTCAATGGACCATGGAGAAAGTTGTGGGAGAGATCGAGTATTAGAAAGATCGGGAGCTGGTGAAGCCAATCTGGAAGAGGTCCGAAAATGCTAGTTTTGGAAAGGATGAGAATTCGAATACTCCTTTGTGTTTGAATCCAAGGTGGAAACTCTGATTCGATTTTGCAAGATTCGAGCATAAGGTTTCTTATTTGGAAAGGAGGCTTCCAATTGGGAGGAATCTTGAAGGTCAATCCGTGGTTTGAAGTTGCATCGAAATGTTTTAACATGGATGTGTTTTCGAAATGGGCTTCTGTGACAACACCAGATAAAGAATTGTTTGATATATCCAGAAACACGAGCTTAGAAAGTTGTCCGATGGTATCCGGAAGAGGCCCTTGTAATAAGTTTGAGGATAAATCAAGAGACCGTAGTTCTGAGAGGTTTCCAATCCATGATGGAATCGATAACAAGGAATTGGAGTTAAGATACAAAATTTCTAGTCTCGATAACTGTCTCATGGAAAATGGAATCAAATCTGTTAAGTTGTTGGAGGAAAGATCCAACTCCTGCAAGCTCTTTAAGTTTCCTAGAGATTCAGGGATCCTTCCTGTCAACTGGTTGTGATCAAGATGCAAGCTTGTCAAGGCCGTAAGCCTTTGTAGTGATGTCGGGATTTCACTGCTACACCTGTTCCTGCTTAGATGTAGTTTCTCCATAGCAAATTGGGGACATTCGGTTGATGGCCCCGTGAGTTCCCCTTCCATATTATTATCCCAGAGATCCAACACTTTTATCCTGCAGAGTCTCCACATCCCAATATCTTGTATACGTGGAAATCTATTTCCCCCAAGATAGAGTTCCAGAATGCCGTTCATGACAGGAATTGAAGCATTGAGGAGGTTGTATGAAAGATCAAGGACCCGTAAAGACGTCAAGTTTTGTAAAAACAGAGGGAACTCGCCTTCAAACAAATTTCCACTAAGATCAAGTGTTTGAATGGTGGAAAGCGTGATATTTGAATTGAGATGGGTGTGACTGAAATGGGAATTAAAGAGTTGGCATCCCGACAGGCGTAAAGATCGTAAAGAAAGAATCATATGCAACAGTACCTTGTCTAAATTTGGAGCTTCACCGATGCTCAATCTGCTGAGATCAAGATGCTCGAGTGCCAAAAGACTCCAAAACCATCTGAAATCATCAATGACCAAGCCCCTTTCACTGAGACTAAGTTCACGCAAATTCGACAGATTTCCGATCCAATGAGGAACGATGCCAGAAAAGCCCGTATCAGAAAGATTCAGATATCTGAGTTGTGTCATGGATCCGATGAACTCAGGAATCGGGTTGCTGCGAAATTTGATCCCACTCAAGTCCAAATAAGTCAAACGAGTCAACTCAGCCAAAGACGGATCCAACTCCTTTCCCTCGTCTTGCCACTTGTTGCTACGAAAATCGATTCTGAGATCAAGCCTGGTAATATGTCCGGTTGCATTGTCGCAGGCCACGTGTTGCCAGTGGCAACAGTTGTTTCCATCCCAAGATGATACTCGACCAGAATCCAAAGGGTCCAATGCAAGGCTGTGTTTGAATCGGAGAAGAGCTCGCCTTTCGTTTTCCAAGCAACTATTGGCTCCGGAAAAGAGGGTTGTGGTAGCACAAACGAAAAAGAGAGAAATCACACCAACCCATAGCTTCCCCATGATTATGCTCATTCTCATTCGAATCTATCCAAGAAGACTCCATCGATGATTACCTCAAGAATTACAGCTCCATACATGGAATCCATGAAAGTCAAAATCTTGTTAGTTAGAAACTTAGAATCATCTTTGGAAAACCCTTGTTAAATGTGTCACTCACATACGTCCAAAATTCCAAATAACATAACGACTACAACGTGATTGAAAAAGTGCTTCGTAACTTGAAATGCAAGTTTTTCTAAATTTTTTATTTTGATTATTTTATCAACCCCAAATATTTTAAGTTATCACTTTTCCGTTTTATATTTTAATTATAGAGAGCAGTTTTGTAACTTTGTCTTATATCTCTGTTTTACATACGGATTATTTTTGTGATTTTATTTGATTATTTTTGAATATTTTTATACGTTGTCAATTTCTGTATTTTTTTTTTTCAAACATAAACAACACTAGATAATTTTACAAATATTATTTTATAATTTTGAAAATATCATTTCTATAATTTTCTTCTAGGAAGTAATAACCATTAGACAATTTTAGTAGGTAAAAGTGAAAACCACACGTTTTTATTAGATAAAATTTCATACCAATAAGGCAATAAGGGCTATCTGTGAAAAAAAATTAATATAAGGATTATTTTATATTTCTTATAAAGAAATTGAGAATATAAATTTAATATACCAATAAATATAAAGATAAATAGACTTATCTTAAAGCAAACATTTACCCTTTTGAGGCTCACATGCGTAGAAATAACACACATATATCCGTATATATGTCTACCCATTATACCTCTTGTTTTTCTTATGTCTTTATTATTTTAATATATGATATAATATATTAGAAAGATATGACAAAAAAACACATATTATCTTTGACCATTAGTCATTATTATTTGTAGTATTATTATACTATTATGTTCTTATGCTAATTTAGGTGGTGTTTGTTTTAGAAAAAATAAAATATATTTGAGTTTTTTTTTAATATTTTTGGAATAAAATATAAGATAAAAGTGTTTTTTTACGTCTATAGTTTTTATGAAAAATTATTTGTTTTTAAAGTTTGGGATAATAACATAAAAGCCCTTAAGTTTGACATAAATGTATGAAATTATTATTTTGTAGATTTTAGATTCATTAATGTTGGATAGTTGCAAGGTTTTTTTTTTTTTTTTTTTTTTTTTTTTTGCTTGCAAATTTACTCAGAAAATCGAATATTTCTACCAAACTTAAGGGCTTTAATGGACCAGAAATCAAACTTAAGGGCTTTTATGACCTAGAAAAAATGTAAAACTAAACATTTCTGTCAATCGTAAGAACTTTAATAATCGAGAAATACACAAAAAGGTAAAATAAAAAAAAGGTGCACGTATCTGGTTTTAATGAACCTAAAATATCAATAAATAAATAAATTGCTCTAATATAAAGAAGCTCACATGCCAAAGACTTTCATTCTCTGTTCGCCGGTTTATCAATGGACTAATAACCAACTAGTTTTTCGTTAAACCATATGGTTTTTTTAGTTACATTTCAATCGGTTTTTTAAAATTTTCAATCGGTGGCGCCTGATTGGTTTTAACTGATTGAACTGATTGGTCCAAAATTTTAAAGGTATACGATCCGATCCGAACCGATCCCCACAAATATTGTTGATTTTTTTATTGACTTCACTTAATTTGAAAACCACTTTATTTTTTGTTTTAGATTCACCACTAGTTTATATTACAATTTCCTTCCAACGTTTGACATTTGTTTCGCCTAGGTGGACTAAAAGCAACAGACTTACCTTGTTGTTTTTTACAAAATGGTGTTTTAAAATACCAAAAATAGACTTCATTCTCTTTAGATGAAAATAAAAAATTTTAGTGGACTTTTAGAACAAATGGGTTGGGCTACATCACATTTACCTATTTGTAAACTCTAACTTAATTAATCTGGTTGTCCCACTCTTTTGGGCTACATGACATTTAGCATTTGTAAACTCCAACTTAAATAATCGATATGCCCCACGGGCCACGGCTACTCTTTTTTATTAACTGGAAGTCGGTTCCCCCTAAAATCAAAAATCTGATAAACGGAAATCCATCACCCCTGCACTTTTGTCCTGCCACTGCCTGCTGCCCAGTTGTCGCCCGCTGTGAGCTGCTGCAATCGCTCAGTCGCCCACTCGTTTGTCACTTCGCTTCTCTTTCATGGCTAACTGCTCGCCGGACTGAAGCCGGCTGCTCTCATTTTCTGCTGCTGCTTAAATTTTGTTGTTTACGAACCGAAAGAGGTATTTTCAATTTTGTTGCTGGCTTGATTTTCACCACTTGTACATTAATCTGTGTTTTGTTTTCTATTTTGTTGTTGCCTTCTATTTTGTTTTTTATTAATTGATTTAACTGTTAGCTGTTATTTGTTAGGGTTTATAACAATTTGACTTACTTGTTGCATATCACTTATACATTAATCAGCATACTTGCTAATTGTTAATAGATTTCATATTTAGGGTTTTGTATATTGTTGCTGCTTTGTATTTTTTAATTTGTTAAAGGATTTTATTATGAATTGTTAGCGTAATCTTTTGCCTTCACTAAATCAAGTAGTCTCTCTTTTCATCCACCAAAATAAAGTCAATCAAGTTGTGTATCATTTGAAGATCTGTTTAGCCGTTCATACTTGTTACTGTTAGATTAGCTCGTTTAGGCTTGCTAGTTCTAACTGCTCCTGGTGAAAATCTTTTTTGATTTTGATATATATATATATATATATATATATATATATATATTTGCATAACAACCTCTAATGTCCCCTAAATCAAGTTAAGTCCCCTGTTAGATGTCTACATTTACCAATGCTGTGTTAAAGGCATAAAAAGGTTAGTATCATAGATGATACATGCAAAATGCTTTTGGTTAATATCTAGTTTCCACATATTGTAGATAATGGAACACATGATAGACATATTCATACAAGATAAAACAGTCTAACTCAAAATCAAACTACAAACTCCAGAACAACAAAAAGTTAAGGAGGAGAAAACATCTATACAAAATCATATCATAAACAAAATTTGAAATTTCTGCATTTGCTAAGGTCCCATCGGCCCATTAGCTTTTTGTTGTTGAAAATATGAAGCAAACGCTGCACGTTTGATCAATCATTGCAATTTGTTTCTTATTTCACAGTTTCTTTCTGATGTAACCTCCCACAAAATTGAAGAAAGCATGTCTCCATCTATTCTTAAGCACCAAAATTCCCAAAATACCCATAAACCCCGTTGTGAAACCGCTCGTTACACCGTAAATCCACATCTTTTCAAAATCATCATCGTCTTCATCTTCCTCAGTGTTTCTTCCAACTTCCAGGACTCGATCATGTTTGCAACTGGTAGGTAGCGGACTACCACAAAGCTGGTTATTGGCTGCGTATATGGATGGATCAAGGAGCGTCTGGAGCTGATTTCCTGTTGGAATTTGCCCTGATAACCTGTTGTGTGACAAATTCAGCTGGCTAAGAGATGTCAATGCAGACATACTCTGTGGGATCATCCCTGAAAGACTGTTTACAGAGAGATCAAGAGAGAATAGTGATTTCATATCACCAATTCTATCTGGAATTTGACCTGTGAGGTGATTGTTTGAGAGGTTAAGACCAACCAATCCTGCAAGAAGTACCAATTCCTTGGGGATCTCCCCTACCAGTTTATTGCTTGAAAGGTCCATGTTCACGATGTATTTTATCTTTGTTGTATACTCGAGTGCAACTCCTTTCATTACCTGAGTCAAACTCTGCTCGAATCTGCCTAAAAAATCCATATCGGAGTAGCCTCCGGTCATTCCACTCAACTTCTGGAAACAGAGAGGGATTTTTCCTGTTAAGTTGTTGTCTCCAAGATCCATGATTTGGAGTTCGCTGCTTTCACACAGCTCTACAGGAATTGGACCTGTGAAGTTGTTTTTATGTAGCCTGAGAACTCTTATAAACATGACTTTTTCACCTAACCATTTTGGAATGCTTCCAGAGAATTGATTTTGACCCAAATCCAACAGATCCAAACCTGTGCAATTTGCTAGAGTTTCTGGAAGTTCGCCATGGAAGCTATTATTGTTTAGTTGTAACCAATTTAGTGAAGAACCAAGATTGCCTAAAGAGCTTGGAATGACACCCGATAGCCGGTTGGAGCTTAATACAATACAATTCAGTTCAGGGAGATCTCCGATACAATCAGGAAGGGTCCCGGATAGCATATTTTTAGAAAGATCTAGAACATAGATCTTTGTAGCATAACACAGCGAATCTGGAATCGATCCGTTGAAGAGGTTGTTCCTAAGAACCAACAATGAGGATCCTCTCCCATAACCTACTAAGCGTTCGGTAAAGGGAAAAATTGTAAAGGACTCGGTTGTTTGGTTGGATGGAAGGTTTGTCAATGGACCACTGAGAAAGTTGTGGGAGAGATCAAGGATCATGATGATAGGGAGGTCGCGAAGCCAATCTGGAAGAGCTCCAAAAATGCTAGTATTAGAAAGGTTTAGAATCACAAGACTCCGTTGCATTCGAATCCATGATGGAAATTCTGATTTGATTTTGCAAGATTCGAGTAGAATGTTTCTTATCTGGAAAGGAGGGTTCCAATCAGGTGAAATCGTGAAGCTCAACATATGATTCCACCTTGCATCCAAGTGTTTTAACATTGATGTGTTGGCGAAATGGGCTTCGGTGATTACACCCGATAAAGAAGTGTTGGATATATCGAGAAATTCAAGTTTAGAAAGGTGTCCGATGGTATCCGGAAGAGGGATTTGTAATAGGTTTTTTGATAAATCGAGAAACTGGAGTCGTGAGAGGTTTCCTATCGATAAAGGAATCTCAGACAATGAATTGGAATTGAGATACAAGATTTCTAGATTCGATAGTCGGCCGAGGGAGAATGGAATCGGACCGTTTAACAGGTTCAGAGATAAATCTAGTGTCCGAAGCATCACCAGGTTTCCAAAAGACGTTGGAATCGAACCTGTC